GTGAGGGTTGATTGAATCGTTTTTTTTTGTTATCTTTTTTTCGTTTTCAAGAGGATAACGTTTTCGAACTTTGCAACTTCTACTATTCTATATTTTTTGTTTTTTTAACAAGCGCTTTATGGTATAGTCTCTTTGTTGTTATCTGCTTCTACTGAGTGCTATACTTCAGACGTAATCGGTCTTTCCTCAGTATGAGTCGTAACAGCGCGCTTTTTTGATTAGTTTTCAAGGCAGCAACATTACCGGATTTTCAGTGAACTAGAACTATTTTTTGTTTTTCTAATTTTTTTCTTATTTCCAGTTGAAACTATTCTTAGCCGATGCACATTTCGTGAATGAAAGGATTTATACTGCCTTATATTAGTCGTTGAATGAAACGGAAGCTGCTGTAACTACTTGAGATGGCATAGGCCTTTGTTGTCGCACGAGAGTTGCTCTACATCGTAGAACTCCGAAGATGGGATCATCCTTGACCACTTAATGAGCTCAAGATAGCATCTACACAATTTCCGGTCAAATCGCGCGTAGGAGCAATCCATCAGAGTGGAATTAAGAAGCACGCGTGGAATTCTCGAAATGCGCCGTTGGAAACGAGTGAAGAAGTAGGGTTCGCTATGAAAAAATATCTGTAGCAATTGAACTAACTGAAATACTGTCTACGGTTTTCCCTCCTGCGACTTTAAATTTTCAAAATAGCGACACTATATGGGCTTATCTATAATTCATGTCCAGGTGCTCGAGAAAACTGTGTGGAGTCGTGTCGAAGGAAATCAGTTGGAAGATCGAAGTCTGAATAAAGCTTGGCTAGCCAGGTTTGTGACGTCGAATTACTCACTGTATCTTATCAATGCTCCTCTTATATGAGAGTATCGAAGCTAAATTAAACGTTTGCAGATATCTGGAAGTGTGTAGAAAAGTGATTGTAGACGACTTGCAACTCGCTCGTGCTGCTGTTCCATGCTTCCCACCTGACTATCAAATCTACGATAGATTTGTCCACATGTACCATAACTGCGTATGTAAAAGGGTGAGTGCCTTACGCTATGTACAGCTCTGCGCAGATCTATGAAGAGCGTGCTAGAGCCGCTATTTCACCACCCATTTGTTGTGCTTCTCATAATTTGAATTTCTTTTCAGCTGCGTGAAATAGCGGCAGAACAGATGGAGAAAAGTGAGCTTGTCCAGTTACTGAGTTGGATTCAAACTTATGGGTAAGTTTCATTTTTCGAGGTGCGATGCTGTCTGCTGTACCCTGGGCTACCCTCGAAACCCAAGTGATAATTTTTTCACCCTCAAATATCTTGCCATCACTTTTACCATAACTCTTACGAATTTGATAGGTTCAGTTTGTGTTGATTTCGACATCCATTTTAGTGGCGAAGAACTGCTTGGTAACCGCCGTCTGCAGATCAACACTGCTGCTTTGTTAGATGATGTTCCTGTGCTTTCCAGATCAACTCTTAACTCGCTCTATGACAGGTCAGTCCTGAGACTTCGTTTTAGCAACCTTGATGCTCTCACTGGTAAATCATGTTTCGTCTTGGGCCTGCTTAACTATATTGCTATTCCAGTTTCGTAGAGATGACGAGGCGTGACATGAAGAACTGGCTCGATAAAACTTTGAGTGCCGAAAAAGATGTAGGTCTTGCATAATGGGAGTGATACACAGTCGTTCCATTTGATGCTGAGGTTTTATAGGATTGGAACAAGCACGTACGACCTGACGAGGATAACTTTGGATATTTCTACACGAGTCTACCAAATATCATGTTCGGAATGCTAAGAGATACGGTATTGTCCTTACTATATCTATTATATTATACACTAACACAACGTACAGACAGCTGCCTATTTGCTAATGAATAAAATTCATTCCAAGCTATTAAGTGGAGAGAATGGAGGGAACAACTGAAATAGTCTACGACCCTACTTGTAGGTGACGCTTGCGAAAGAAGTTAGTGTTGAAGTGATTCCGAGCGTCATCAACCTTACAATTGAGGAATTCTTCATTTTCGCCAATAAATATAAAGGTCAGACTTGCCCTCTCTTAATGTATACCTCATTGGATTTTTATAAAGAACTGAATGTGTTACAGATGCATTCACTGCATATCGGAACAAGTATTTTGAAAATCGTAGCACTTTTCGAGAATTCACATCCACTATGGTAAGTTTCCTCTGATCATGTTTTCTCCGATAATTTCATTGAATTTGATGTTTTCAGGTTGCGATCGCCAACAATTTACAGACGTGTATCGAGTCCACTGATAAGTACATGCAACAGGTCAGTGCGTTGGAGTAATTGCGTGAAATTTGTGATTTACAATCGCTCAGTTCAATTATTCTAGGTTCGTCTATCGATGGAAAGCGATGAGCAGCAGGATGGTGGAGTTGCTGGTCGTCGTGCAGTTAGTCGTCAGCAGATCATTGACAATATCGACCGTTTGAATGCTAGATGGAGTAGTGCAGTGGGCGTTGCGTGAGTTGTCGTCATGAGTTTTTCTTTGCTCCCAGTATCTCTTATACGCTCTTCTTCTTGAAAACGAAGGCTTCAGTCATGTTAAGATTGTTGTTTTTGGTTTTTGGATTATATATATATATATATATATATATATATATATTAGATTGGCTAAAATTAGCTATCTATCCTTTTTAAAAGGTTCTAGAAAGAGTTTTTCTGTTCTAGCACTCCTAGGGAACTAGGTAGAAAAGAGGTTGATGGTTTTTTTTTCCAGTGTAAACTACTTGTTAGAGGAGATTTGCGAAGATCTCAGTCCCCACCTTGCGGAGTTATTCTCCAGGAAGTGGTCAGTGAAGGTGTTTAAGGTTTATCAAAGAGAACTGTCTTCGTTATTCCAAGAGAACAGTTGCTCTTATGAATATTAACAGGATTGTTGGATGTTCTGCACCTGAGACTATATGTATGACCGTACAAGATTACTATGCTGATCATCGCCATCTGCGTCCTGCTACCCGTTGTGCATTATTAATGGATCTGCAATTTCGAATTGTTGGAGAGTATCTGAAGGCAATAGACTCTCGGTGAGACAATATATAATTTTTTGAGAATATGTCCAAGGCAAATCGCCCTTCCGGTGATTGACAATTGTGTTCTGTGTAGCTAAACCTCTGTGCCGACAAAGTGTGATTCGAATATAAATATCCGCTCAGTGACATGGAACATGTAGATCACAAGAGGATCGATTGAAGGGGGCCCAGAATTCGAGTTCTAACTTTTCCAGGCCCTCATTGAGCAGAATCGCTTGACCTAGCTACTGCCTCTACTCTACTCTTTCTACTTATTCTATTGAATTATGTTGGTCATAATTACAGCCGCCTAACGTTCGCCACCTATGAGGAAAGAGCTGCGGCGGGATCTCGGATGAAAGCGGATGCACAACGGCTGGAAGCGTTGTTCAAGCAACTTATTGACACCGATGACATCAATGAGCCGGTAGGTAGTGGCAATACCGCCCTCTCCGTAGGACTTGTACCCATACCAATGTGAAAAGATCACCTTATTATTATATTTCCTTATCTCGCCTTCGAACCGTGATGAACTTTCTGTGGGAGAAACAGCAACGTATCGCGGATCACAGCTTCAGGTTCCGAGATTTTCTCTCGGTCATAGGTCACCGTCTGCCTCTCATTTAAATAGTACTGCTCGATCGCCATGAATAAGAGTTTTGTGCTGCACGAATGCCTGCGACTAGAAGTCATTTTATGCGGAGCGTCCTCCTAAGCGGCACCCTTTCTACCCTGTAGCGCACAAGTAAAGCTTAGTTACATTGAAAAAAATCTTCACCCAAGCTTGCCCGCTCATTTCCTTTTCCTGGGCGGTAGTGCTTACTTTCAAGCCGTTGAGCCACTATCTAAAAATCTCAGAGAGCAGCGCTGCTGTTGCTGTTTTTTGAAGACATAAGAAAATGAGGCATTGAATGTGTTCTGAGTAAATAAAGTTCAAAGTTTATCATTTTCCATGAAAAAAAGAACGTTGTACAATCCTATGATTTCAGTTTTCACTGATTTGTTCGTTAATATCGAGTTGTGGCGAGGTGATAAGCCTACGTGACAAGTCTCTTCTAACATTGGAAGTGACTACGTTCAGCAGGAAGTATCCGAACATTCCGGTAGATTTGTTGGCTGCTTTGCTGGCAAGTCGTGATGATGTCTCACGCAGTGAAGCCAAGTACGCGCCTCAAATCTTGTTCTTATGTGAATATTCTGGTGATTCTCAGCTGACTCACCTGACTCACCTTCGAATTCCAGACAAATGGCCGAGGAGGTGGTCGCCCATGTCCAGTTCCATCCTCGTGACAGAGTTCTGGACCAGCTGTTTGCATCAGTGATAGGTCGCAGCGATTCCACATCTTGGAAGCCTAATCTGGACATGATGAATATGCTTTCTTCTTTTATGCGCAGAGATCACCCACATTCATAGAGTGGTATGTTGTGATGACAAGGGGTTGGGTGTTTTGGAAGCAGGCTTCCGTAGCACCGAGCTTTGTGCCGCCATCTATCTGCCTGTCGGAATGCTGCGTTTGAAGAACTTTTGATACATGTAAATGTAAGGCTTTGCCGTTCGCTTTCTGATAGACGATATATTAAAGTGAAGCTAAGGGGACATTTTCATCGCCTTATTTATCATATTCTGCAGAAAAGCTTTCTAGACTCGGATTTTTTTCCGTTATGATCTGTTGTTACGGTATTTTTCTGTCTTCAATGTATGCATATATGTAATTTCCTTTCGATCCATAATCCAAGAAGTCATCAAGCATGCTTATATACATTTTGTGCATGTTGTTATTCCAGTGTTATGGGCAATGTGATATTTATTTCAAAGGTCGCTAATATAAATATAATTCAAGGAAATGATCGTCCTGGTTGATTGCAGTGTTCTGTTGAATGTCACCGTGAATCGTTCCCATAATTTCCTAACTCGATGAGCAAACTGAATCGTACTTGAAACCATTTGGGGGAAATTGCTTCCTACAAGGTCAGAACTTTATTTCCATCACGTTCATCGTAATTTGTTCGGGAGCCCAAAGAGAGCAGGAAATTGTATGTCGTTTAGGTTGAACTTATTTGTCGTGGCAACGCTGGCATCATATTTTTCCACTTCAAATGACCACGGTGTTAGCCTTCCATACAGTTACTGCGAAGTGCGATGCAAAGCGCTCGCCCTCCGCTGCTGTCGCGACGCGTGAATCCCGCGTGCGCTGATCGATACCGGGTGTATGCTGCGCCATAAGAGAACTCGGCGTGTTTTTGATGTGGTCTATTGGGCTTGCGGTTTTCGAGGGTTAAATAACGAGGATTGAAGCGATTCACAAAAATCTCAAAATTATGCGTGGGGTTGAGAGTGATGCTAATCCGGAGAAACGGCTTCTTGTTCAAAAGGGGACTCAATAGATTGCCGATGAACAATGAAAGCGAACGAGTCCTGGGGTAGTGATAAATGGGCGGCAAATGAAAACCGAGGCCGCTTAAAGCAGTGGTTGCGTATATTCGGTTCCCTTATAATGCGCCTTAAATGTCGCCTGCGAGATTCACGCGTTGTGGCAATGGCGGTGGAGCGACACGCTGTAGCATCGGGAACTATGACCATTGCTGAAAGTCCATATTGAATGGCAGGAGTGGATAATTGGGCTGAGCTTGCTTTGCGAGTAGTAGCCCAGTCCAATAATTATATTTCTGTGGTGCTCGATGCTTCATCCAATAATTAACAGTGATTCAAACTGATTTAGTGTCTCTGTCACTGGACTCACGGTTGCATCCAGTAACTGGAGAAGAACAGTTCGAAATTTATCGGAAATCATCTGCGTGAATATGTTTATGCAGAAGGTGAGCACTTCCTTCCAGTTATGAGGGGTTGATAATCGTTGATTTGAGGTTTGTGGTAGTTCCTCTAGTGTGATAGTTTGCGGCAGCTTGATATATCTGCAAACTTCATTTTATTTACCATTTTTTATGCCCTTTTACCATAACTTTTCTTTTCGCGCTTTACCTATGTCATGTATTGCGGTCACCTAAGTATCGTTGATCAGAGATCGGCGATTGTTTTTACACCCTCTGCTATTTCTACCGTATCTGACGGCCTTTTGTTTTCAGTATTTCTCCGAAGCTTCTTCGCGTAAGTTCACTTCTTATCGTGCCTATTTGCACGGGCCTAGACAACGAATTCTCTCCACCTGAATTGCACCCCTGAAATGCAGTTCCACGTGAGACTGCTTGATTTCGGTAGAACTCCAAACAGCATTCGCTGATTGAGTTACTATGGTAGGCAACTTACTTGGAACGTATACCTTATGCTCTCTTCGTTGAATTCACTAATTCCTTCAAAAAATGGTCTCCAGATGAAGAAAAAATAATTTAAAGCTTCTATGTTAGACACCAGCAGAAAAAAATTCAATTTTATACTTTCAGAGCCTTGTGCGTCCCTTTCAGTGTNACTTACTTGGAACGTATACCTTATGCTCTCTTCGTTGAATTCACTAATTCCTTCAAAAAATGGTCTCCAGATGAAGAAAAAAATAATTTAAAGCTTCTATGTTAGACACCAGCAGAAAAAAATTCAATTTTATACTTTCAGACCTTGTGCGTCCCTTTCAGTGTACCAATAAGAATGATATCCTTGTTCTTTTGTTTTGGCGTATTTGGATACAAATGGGTGAGCAGTTTGGGGCACAGAAGAAAAGTAGCTTTAGCATTCCGTAAATTTCCAGCCGTTCGCCTTTTTATTGCTTGAAGTGTTCGGCGAACAGCTGGATCTTCTCAATTTTGTTTTCGATAACGCAATCGCCCCATGGACTGATGGAGAACTTGAACGGATCGTGTTTGCCGAGTTCTCGAGAATATTCCTACAGGGAACTTCGCTTCCGTTCCTTCCACCTTCGAAATGACCGCGCGCTCTTCGTTCTACTTCGTCAACCTATTGGCTGAACTGAATGGCTGAAGGTGACGTCTTTTTGTGCCACCATAAAATATCCATAGAATTTTAGAGGGAGGAAAAAGGGGCGAAAGACCGTTCGCAGTATGGAATGCGTCGTACGAAGATTGAATTTTTAATTGACTCCCATTTGAAACTATTGTCCTCTTAGATTACTCTGGTGTCGATTTAACACTCGAAATTGCCATCCTTGTAAGGCGTTTAGTCCGCGGGAGACTCAGGAATTGAACTTTGGCACTTCGTTGCTTGGCGATCACTGTTCCGTTTTAGAGGCATTCATAGTGCCACTCTGACCTCAGCTTCAGCGCTAGAACGCCGAGAAGTAGTATGCACATGTGAGAGACACCAGACAGTGACAGACGGCGATGTTTTTATACGGAACTTGCCATCTTACATCTTTTTTCTTTTCCAGGTAGCAGTTTTCTTTTTATCTATGCTAAGATACCCTCATAGCAAAAGGTAACATTACCACTTCTCTTGCATTTGCAGTAACGGAGTTTTGCATCCCATTCCCTTTCTATCCGTTCGCTATAAGCCCGCATCCAGCATGAATTGTCTGAATACACCTTTTAGATGCCACTGTTGATAGAAATCAAGGTACTTAACTGGAATTTGCTACAAACAAACAGACAGTTTTCTTGAGGATGGTGTATAAATTAATATTTCTGTAAGAAAAAAAAACGAAGTTATCGTCTTGTTCTTCTGTGGAAATTTCGCACAAAACCCTCCCCCTCTTATCCCCTTCCGAATGAGCTCCACTTTTATTCGCGTGTAATTTTGAGACAAAGTGCGAGATAATCTTTTTTATGCAATAGTGATGGATTGTTGGTTTGAAGAGCTTGACGCTTCGTCTCCTAAAATATTTCAGTTTTCAAGCTTTTCCAAGAAATGGCCATACATGAGCTCAACCGGAATCGTTCCGGCCCTATGCCCATTTTCATCATTTTAACACCAAATTAATCTTCTCCTCTATTAATTATTTTTTCTAACCAGTTGTACTGCTTCGATTCATGGAAATATATTGTGAAGGCATCATGTCTACTTAGCCAATTTCTACATTGAAGAAGCCGCAATTAATTGGTGACAAACTGACAAACAACAGGCTTATCTAATGGTGTGCGAGTAGGTCTGACCTGTCTGCCTGGAAAGAGGGAAACGGTACTTGAGCTGTCGGATGGTGGCTTTGTTGGAATTCCAGTCCATGAATTGACTTCCGATCAACTACAATTACTTGAGCCTT